CAAATTCAATGCAGGCCCAATCCCCATGATATTTTCCACAAAAACAAACCATCCTAAAATTCATGTGAAATCTTAAGGACCCCTGAATAGCCAAAACAACCTAGAGAAAGAACAAAGTTAGATGCCTCACACTTCCTCATTTCAAAAACGTATTACAGGAAACATGTAATCCTGATTACAAAACATTATTGGAGTAATCAAAATAGTACAGTACTGGCATAAAGACAAACATATAGAACAAAGGAACAGAGTAGACGGCCAGAAATAAACATACATGTATATGGTCAAATGTCTTTGACAAGAGTGCAAAGAATACATGATGTGGAAAGGATAATCTCTTCAACAGATGAGGCTCAGCAAACTGGATATTCACATGCACAAGAATGAAGATGGATCCTTCAGCATACATAAAAATCAAAATGGTTACAAGACATAAACATAAGATCTGAAACTATAAAACTCCTAAAACAGGAGAAAAGTTTCATGACATTGGATTTGGCAATGGTTTATTGGGTATGACAACAAAAGCACAAGGAACAAAAGAAAAAAATAGAAAAATTGAACTTCACCAAAATTAAAACCTTTTTTCAAAGGGCATTAGGAACAGAATGAAAAGGCAACCCACACAGAATGGAAGAAAATATTTGCAAATCATTTATCTGGTAAGTTCTCTACATATTCTGGATATATAAAGAATTTCTACAACTCAACAACAAAACCAATTATAAAATGGACAAAGGACTTCAATAAACATTTCTCCAAAAAAGATAGTCAAATGGTCAATAAGCACATAAAAAGACAGTTAACAGCACCAATCACTAGGGAAACACAAAACAAAACTAAAATAAGATACTACTTCAAACCCATTAGTATGTCTATTATAAAAAAATATATAGACCTGGAACCAACCCAAATGCCCATCGATGATAGACTGGACAGGGAAAATGTAGCACATATACACCATGGAATATTATGCAGCCATCAAAAACGATGAGTTTGTGTCCTTTGTAGGGACATGGATGAACCTGGAAACCATCAGTCTCAGCAAACTGACACAAGAGCAGAAGATCAAACACCACATGTTCTCACTCATAGGCGGGTGTTGAACAATGAGAACACATGGACTCAGGGAGGGGAGCACTACACACTGGGGTCTGTTGGGGGGAAAGAGGGGAGGGTCAATGGGGGGTGGGGAGTTGGGGAGAGATAAAAATGCCAGATAAAGGTGATGGGGAGGAAGGCAGCAAATCACACTGCCACGTGTGTACCTATGCAACAATCTTGCATGTTCTTCATATGTACCCCAAAGCCTAAAACGCAATAAAATTTAAAAAAAAGAAAATAACAAGTGTTAGCAAGGGCGGGGATATTAAAACCCTTGTACATAACTGGTGGCAAGTTAAAATGGTATAGCTGCACTTCCTCAAGTTAAACGTACAATTATCATAAGATCCAGCAATTCCAATTTTAGGTGTACACTTAAAAGAACAGAAAGCACCACTGATTATAGCAGTGCTATTCTTGATAGCCAAAGTGGTGGAAACAATTTAAATGTCCGCTGGCAGATAAAAGGATAAACAAAATGTGGTGTACAAGTACAATGGAATATTATTCAGCCTTAAAAAGGAATTAAATTCTGATACATGCTACAACATGGCAGAACCTTAAAAACATTATGCTAAGTGGAATAAGCCACACACAAAAGGACAAATAGTATGATTCCATTCATACCACGTACTTAGAACAGTCAAATTTGTACAGTCAGGAAGCAGAACACTGGTTACCAGGAGGTTGAGAGTTACTGTTTAAGGAGTACAGAGTTTCAGTCTGAGATGATGAAAAAGTTCTGGAGATGGATAGTGGTGATGAATGCACAAAGTGTGAATCTATCTAAATGCTACTGAGTTATATAACCAAAAAGTGTTTAAATGGTTAATTTTATGCTATATGTATTTTACCATATTAAAAAAGAATCCGAAAATAAATAAATACAAGTGAATTTATTGACAAAAACCTTGCCTTGTCCTGTGACATGAAAAAAAATTTATATAAGCTCATTAAGAGGAAACATTATTTAAAGCAAGAGCTTCATTTTAAAGTAAAATGTGTCAATGTTCTTACTAAAAGCAATCCTGCAAGGAATCAAAAGATGTTTAAAGTCTTTTGATAATCTGACTTACTCCAAAAATGAACTTAAATATTTGGGTGATGGGCCCGACTGAATGTCCTGGAGACAATTATACAGACTTAGCTACTGAAATCAAGACTTTGATAAATATTATCCAACTGAGTTTGAGGCTGCCTTCTGTAGCTAGGACATGGTATTTAGAAAGTTTATAATGGATAAAGGACTTACACCCAGAATAAAAAGGGCTACAACACAGTATCATCAACCCCATTTTTTTTTTTTTTTGAGACGGAGTTTCGCTCTTGTTACCCAGGCTGGAGTGCAATGGCACGATCTCGGCTCACCGCAACCTCCGCCTCCTGGGTTCAGGCAATTCTCCTGCCTCAGCCTCCTGAGTAGCTGGGATTACAGGCACACGCCACCATGCCCAGCTGAATTTTTGTGTTTTTAATAGAGACGGGGTTTCACCATGTTGACCAGGATGGTCTCGATCTCTTGACCTCGTGATCCACCCGCCTCGGCCTCCCAAAGTGCTGGGATTACAGGCTTGAGCCACCGCGCCCGGCCCATCAACCCCATTTTTAAATGGACAAAAAAAATCTGAATAAACATTTCACTAAGATAGATAGATAATGGCTGAAGAGCACATAAAAGATGCTTTGACATTATTCATCACCAGGAAATCAAAATTAAAACCACAAAGGAATATCACTTCAAACACTAGGATGAGTATAATTCAAAAAAACAAAAAATAAACAATGACTGGCAAGGTTGTAGAGAAACAGGAACCCTTGCACATTACCAGTCAGATGTAAGACAATGCAGTCGCTTTGGAAAATAATTTGGCAGTTTCCTAAGAAAGTTAAACTAAAATTTACCTTATGACTTAGCAACTCCCCTCATGTATCTGCCTAAGGAAAGCGAAAACATATCCACACAAAGACTTGCACACTCATGTTCAAAACCCTTTCATACCAATGTTCAAAGCAGCAATATTCCCGACAGGCAAAAACTGGAAAAAACTCAAATGTTCTTCAACTAGTGAATGGACAAAGCAACCATATAATGTAATATTATCTGCAATAAAAAATAAAGTACTACTATGTTACAACATGCATGAACTTCAAAAACACATTAATGAAAAAACACAAGAAAGATCACATATAATAACAAAATGTACAAGACAACTCTAGAGACGCAAAGTAGACTGATTAGTGGGTGCCTGGCATTAGAGGCTGGAAGGAAGATTAACTGTAAATTGGAAAAAGGAATCGTATTGGGATGATGTTCTAAAAAAATGGATTATGGTAATGGTTGCACAACTCAGCAAATTTACTAAAACTGACTGAATTGTACACTTGAAATGGTTTTAATGATATGTAATTTGTACCTCAATAAATTCATTTAAAAAAAAAGTTTATACTCCAGACTCCTAACGGATGCTGGGATAAAACATTGTTATGAATGTTAGGGAGTCTAAGAGTAATCCTCGAACAAGCCTCTTCTCAAGGCTTACATATTTCTTCAACTCTATCAATTATACCTTTCAGAAAACAAAACTTAAGCCAGTCTTGTCTTTTCAGAAAAAAACTTAAATCATTATGAATGATTCTCATAATAAACATTCTTTTCATGGCTAGTATGTGATTGATTGGGTCCACTTAACAATAACTATGCAGACCAATTTATCACATGGCAATATTTAAACTGCAGGCTGGGGTTGGGGAGGCACCAGGACGAAACCAAAAACCTTCTTCCAGAGGTAGCATTTCACACCTACATACATTAGTCACAGTAAATGTTCCTGAGTCTAAGATCAGCCTTAAGGATCACTTTACTTCTATAAACCAAGAGTTTTCTGGTTTAATTCTCTTTTTATAGGAGCTACCTACAATTTCAACTTTAGGAACTTATTTCTAGACCACTGCTCAGTCCATGGGGTTCCTCTAGAACCCTATGACCTAACCCCCAAAACTCACTCATTCAGGGGCTTAAGTTCCTTTTTCAGTTAGAAATTATTATTCAGACTCCACCAATGAAACTTGTAAGGAATAATCCACCAATACCCGTATATTCCATTCCTCTGAGGTCTAATTTCACAACAGAAAACTTAACTGAAAATTTTTTCTGTATCAATTCTATATTCTTTCCCTGAACTTTACTTGCTATCAGTGGGGTCTCTCCAGATTTTAGGATATCTATCCTCCAAATGGTGGGGATTAGAACATTCCAACACCAGAAATTCAGGTTATATATATGAGAGAACTAGGTAAGTCAGAAAGTAGATTCCCCATCAAAAGGTGGCAGCTGGTACCCAGGACCAGCTGAGTGCTTTACAGAAATGTAAGCCCACTGTTGTTAGCCCTTATAGTTTTTTTTAAGACAAGCCTTGTTTTTAAAATGAAATGCCCTAATTTTAGATACTGGCAACAATGTGTACACACACACACACACACACACACACACACACCCACCCACCCACCCACCACACCCCAAGCAAACTGTTAAACAGATTTTAACTGTTGCCATACAGAATGTTTACACTCCAATTGGAAAAATATGTACTTGCTGCAGGTAAAATTCTTTTTTAAGTAGAATTTTTGCAGAATAAAATCCATCCAGAACAGCTCTGTTTCAGCGCACTTTCTTTCCCCCAGCCCTCGTCTATTTTCCTAGGACTGTTAGTCTCACAGAGGATATGGCTCAGGTGTAAGCTCTCTGGCTTCTCAGTCCCCTTGGTCAATGGCCAAGAGAAAAAGAGTTCCTTTGTCCAATTAAAATATTTCCTGAAGGAAAAGTCATTTGAGCTTCACTGACCCGTTCCTAGTTACAGCATTTGAGGGATTCCTGCATGGAGTTTTCAAAAACTATACTGCATTCTCATTAAGCTAGAAGTCCAGCATCCTGGGAACCAGGCTTGGTGGAGTGTACCCGTAATGCCAGCTATTCAGGAAACTCAGATGGATGGATCACTTGAGCCCTGGAGTTCAAGACCAGCCTGGACAACACAGTGAGCCTCGATCCCAAAAAAGAAAAACAGAAAAACAAATAGTCGTCCAGCATCCTAAATAGGAGTATTTTCCACTACAGAACTTGAAAATAATGACAAATCAAAAAAATAACATGTCCACAGCTTCAGGGATAATCAGGAATACAAAAAAAAAAAAAAAATTAAAAAAGGCAGAAATCATTAGTTTCATCACTTCATTCTGCTGGTAAAGAAACTGAAAGGTCAAATTACTTGTCCAAGGTATATACAGCAAGTTGGTTGGCAAACTGGGACAAAATCCAAGTTATCTGACTGCAGTCAAGTTCTCTTTCCATCACACTACATGGTAGTGGAAGAAATCAGAGGGAAATTCCCTGAAGAAAAGAATACTTCCAATTCAAGTTTGGCCTCAGAATCATTTCTCATTCTTCACTTTCCAGTGACTTTATCAACTAAGAACTGTTTACCAGCTTGCCATCCTTGAAAAGAGGGATGAACAGGGAGAAGAATTTTTCCTAGCTGCCATTTTATGAAAGTTGCAGCTACTGATCAATTTTGTAATAGTTTACATCCCAGGGCTTCAGTAACTGATAATCTGAACTAAATCCCCCCACCTTACTGTTAATTCCAGGATTACTCTGAAGAATGAAATCCCCGATGTCTAATGAGGCCTGAATTACTTTTAAATGTCTTCTCACATTCATTACATTCATATTCTCTCCTTCCAGTATGAATTTTTAGGTGTTCTACAAGGATTGAGCTTCGACTAAAGGTTGCGCCACAATAGTTACATTCATAGGGTTTCTCTCCTGTATGAATTCGGTGGTGTTCATTAAGAGATGAACTCTGACTGAAGTTCTTCCCACATTCTTTACATTTGTAAGGTTTTACGCCAGTATGAATTCTCTGATGACGACTAAGGAGTGAATGGGTTGGGAAGGCTTTCTCACATTGGTTACATTTGTACGGTTTTTCTCCTGAATGAAGTCTTTGATGATAAATGACAGATGTAAAATGGCTAAAAGTCATTCCACAATCATTACACAAATATGGTTTTTCTCCGGTGTGAATTCTCTGATGCCGGGTAAGGCATGAATTCTGTCTAAAGGCTTTCCCACATTCACCACATTTATAGGGTTTCTCTCCAGTATGAATTCTCTGATGTTTGGAAAGGGATGAGCTATGACTGAAGGATTTTCCACAATTGCTACACGTATAGGGTTTTTCTCCAGTATGAATTCGCTGATGTTGAATAAGAGATGAACTGTCACTGAAGGGTCTCCCACAGTCTTTACATTTATAAGGTTTTTCTCCAGTATGAATTCTTTGATGTTTAATGAGGTGAGCACTTAGGGTAAACTCTTTCCCACAATCATCACATTTGAAGGGTTTCTCTCCACTATGAGTTCTATGATGTGGTGTGAGCGATGAACTATCACTAAAAGCTTTTCCACACTCATTACACATATAGGGCTTTTCTCCAGTGTGAATTCTCCGATGTTTCGTGAGTGAGGCACTATAGCCAAAGGCTTTTCCACACTTACTACATTTATGAGTTTTTTCTCCAGTCTCATTTCCCTCACCTTTATTTAAGGCTGCTGCTTGACATGAATCTTTCCGACATTTCTCACACATAGGGATTTTTCTCCTAGAAAGGGTTGACCTCCGAATAAAGATTATCCCACACTTACTGCATTTTTGGGACCTATCCCCCAAATGAATCTTCTGACGTTTCTGATGCTCAGTAAGAGCTGAAGAGTGACTTAACACTTTCCCACTGTCATTACATTTCCGCAACTTTTCTCCAGCAGTTTTCTCCTTGCGGTTCAGAACAAGGTCTGAATGAAAACTGAAGGGTTTCTTGCTTTCATTATACTTCCGAGATTTCTTCCTCAAGTAGGCTCTCAGATGTTTCATTAAGTCTGAAGGTTCTTTGAAATTATGTCCAAAGGGCCTTTTATCTGGGTCAGATTCCTCACCCCTATTGCCTTTCCCACGAGTTTTCTTTTGTGTGACTTTTCCTTTTGAATTTCCCTGATTACCATGCTCCTCCTCTGATATGCCATAATATTTCTGGAATTCTTCCATCAAGCCATCATCATCATCCCTGAGGCATCTTTCTATTATTTTATCTAAAGCTGATTCATCTAAAAGAAATAAGAAATAGAATATTTCCTGATTGTAAGAAAAGAAGCTGTATTTGGGTCTGAAATAGGAACACATTAATAATTATAAGGAATACAGTTTGGATGGTTCTCAAAAAGAGCTTTATAAAATAGAAAAGGAAAAGGTAATATAGAGAAAAAATGTAAATATATGGGCTAAGAAAAATATTGAGAAAGGTGAAAAGTTTGTGCTTTATAGTTAGATGCAAGTTCTCACCCTCATTTTCAATTTCTGTAAGAGGTTCAAACCTATTCTCCCTATATCCAAACTTTTCCCTTTCCAACAATGATAGCACAAACATTTGTTGAGTATTTACCAAATACCAGGTCCTGCATCAAGCATGGTGTTAATACAAATCACTACAATACTTACAAGCACAATGTAATACAAATAACTACAATACTTACTTAATTACTGCACTTAATCTTCACAACAACCCTATGAAGTAGGTCTTATTATCATCCCGGTTTTATGTATGTGACAACTGGGCACACAGAGTGTTAAGTAGCCTACCCAAGGCCACAAGTACAATATGTGATACAGACAGATTTTTAACTGAGTCTGAATCCAAAGCCCATGCTCCTGATCCTTATATCACCTCTCCCCAAAGCATGCAACACTAATTTTGTTGAAAATGTTAAACACATCGCAGATATGCAACACCATTAATATAGACTTTCAAAGATAACCACAAGTTGGCCCTATCAGCCTTATGGATATACTAATCAGGCATCCCTTTCATGTCTCTCCCACAATGCTGTAGTTCCAGTACTATTCTTCTGATCTTAATACTTACTACTACCTAGAATGCATTCCCACAGCACCCTCACTGTCATAAACATAAATTAGACAGGGCCTGGGGTTCAAGTCCAATGATCTCTTCTCTAATACCATACTCTCACTGATTATGCTCTTCTCAAAATTTTGAATTCGCTAATTAACTACACCCTTTTTTTTTTTTTTTTTGA